CGGGGCCACACAGGGTGGGGCACAAGTACGCGGTTCATCCATATGATCCTGGTCAGCCATTTGCAAATCTCCCGCGTGGTCTATTCCTTGCGGGGTTAAATGCAGTCCGAGCTGATCATGTCCCAGGCCCTCAGCGTTCGGGGTAATAATTGTAATAATTATAATAGTATTAACATACAGTAATGAAATAATAAAAATTAAAAAAAAATTAAGCTGGTTCCCAGGCAGAACGAGAGAGCAAAGGAGAAATCAGAAACAGGGCTACCGTCTACACCCGAATAGAATGCCCGGCCCGGTTATCATCGCTGTAAGTTGCACCAAATACGGCTGTAAGGGCCAGGCGTTTGTATTTCTATTTGGGTGAACACGATCGCCAAGAGTGCAGAGGTGCAGCTCGACTTCAAAAGGCCGTACGTAGATAGCTCCTGAGAAAAGGGGTCCCCTAAGGTTTAGAGTTTAGGGTTTAGCTAAACCAAAGGGGAACAGTCCTTGCTACAACCTACCTACATAGCTGAGAGGAGCAAGTCAGCGACGGGCACTGCAATCAGGCTACATCTAAACACCACAGATACATATCCAGGACTACCATCTTCACCCGAATAGAATGCCCGGTCATTATCGCTGCATCTGAACTGAAAGCTGCGCCAAATGCAGCTATAATGACCGGGCGTTCTATTCGGGGGAAGATGGTAGCTTTCCTTCCACATAAATTGTTCGAGCAGGCCAACTTCGGCAGGGGTGAGGGGTTAGTACATCCTTCCTATTTTGGAAGTAATCATTGCCATCCGCTCGGGCCTCGCAACCATCATGATGGGGAGGAGAGTGCCTGAGTATATATGTGTAACCCATTCTTTCTGACTTGCCGGTGGAATAGGAACCAGACTGATGCTCCCGAAAATGGAAAAGGAGCCAGAACCAGGAGCGCTGCCTGCCTAGGTACCATCCTGGCAAGGCCCCGCCAGGCACTGTCCAGGCAGGGTCATAGGCAGACCCCCCCCTCCAAAAAACAAAAGATGGTTCGCAGGCAGAGTGGACCAGCTCTGCCTGCCTAGTGTACCATCCTGGCAAGGCCCAGCCAGACACTGTCCAGGCAGGGTCATAGGAGACCCAACGCAAATATTGAGCACTGGGTCTTCTCACAACCTTAAAAAAGTAACCCCCGTTTATAGACCCCTCCCAATCTGGTAGCAATCAATGCCGCTGTCTGCAGTATCTCGACAATAGCGGGGATATGCATTGACTACATCCGATGTAAGGGCCGCTGGACCCATTTTCCAGCATTCTTCATACACAAATCTGATCCTTAGAGAAAGGAAAAAAAGACCCTGTTTAATAGTGTTTAAGTAACTTTATACCATACTTGCGGCGCATTAGTGCGGTTCGCTGCGCCGTGCGGCATGCGCGTGGTGACACCGCGCGCGCATGCGCATGAGGTGCGCCGTGCGCACAGCGCATGAGGACGCGCTACCAGTGCAAGGTGCGCACTGTGCGCGATGCCTATTTTCGGTGTGTGTGTGTGTGTGTGTGTGTGTGTGTGTGTGTGTG